GCCCAGACTAAAGTGCAGTGGCCGCTCCCGGCCACCGCAGCCTCGACCTGCTGGGCTCCGGTGATCCTTCCACTTCAGCCGTCCAAGTAGCTGGAACTACAAGCGCATGCTACCACTCCCAGCTAATTTTTTTTTTATTTTATTGTGGAGATGAGGTCTTGCCAAGTTACCTGGGTGGGTCTCAAACCCACGGGCTCAGGCAATACACTCACCTCAGCCTACCAAGGCACAGGATTACAGGCTGAGCCACTGAGCCTGGCTCAAATCAGCATTTTTAAGACTCATCCTTTGTTAGGTTCTGCTAAAATGATTTTCTGGGTTTATAATACTCAGAGTTGAATTTTAGGCCACAATGAATTAATCAAAGAATAGCTACTTTGTAAAAGTTTTTAGATGTCAACTAGCTTGTCTTCCTCTGCTCATCTATAAAAACTTTGAGACTTTTAAATAGTGTCTTTACTAATTATAAGACTTGAAATAACACTTTTCCCGGCCGGGCTCAGTGGCTCAGCCTGTAATCCCAACACTGGGAGGCCCAGGCAAGTAGATTGCCTGAGCCCACGGTTCAAGAACAGCCCGTGCAACTTGGCAAGACCTAGTCTCCACAATAAATAAAAATTTAGCTGGGTGTGGTAGTGTGCACCTGTAATTCCGGCTACTTAGAAGGCTGAGGCGGAAGGATCGCCGGCAGGTTGACGGTGGGGTGGCCATTAGTGTACTGCTGCACTCCAACCTGGGTGACAGAGTGAGACTCCAACTCAAAAAACAAAAACAAAAAAACTTTTCACCTGTCTTGTTAATAGCAAAATGAATGAAGGGTTAGGAGACTGTGGTGAAAGTAACTGTTTGTTTGAGTTCATTTCACCAAAGTTATCAGATCTTTAGAAAGCTGGTTTGTTCTTCCCAAATTCATGCAAAATGCCTAGAGCTAGAATATAAATTTATTCATTTACATAGTGAAATAATTCCATAAGGAATAATTCAGTTTAGCTGGGTAGATTGATAGTCATGCTTATTCACAGTAGGAAAGGTGACCATGAGCTTTCTTTAGCTATTCTGGGCATCGTGTCTTTTGCATAATGCTAAAAGCACTGACTAAGTTTCACTCCAAATCCATTCAATTTTGATTACATCATTCTTTTCTCACATATTCAACACCCATACAAAGAGTTCTCTACTTTGGGAAGCTTTTGGGGGTTACTGATACCTTCTTCCTTTTTTTTTTGGCCAATCTTATCTGTTACCAGTGAATTTTTCCTTCTGTGGGAATAATGACCAAATTTTGACTTTATATATAGGAAGCCAGTAAAAACTTGAATTTAGCCAGGTACGGTGGCTCATGTCTGTAATCCCAGCACTTTGAGAGGTTGAGGCAAGAGGATTGCCTGAGCTCAAGGGTTTAAGACTAGCCTGGGCAACTTGGCAAGACCTCTCTCTACAATAAATCAAAACATTAGCTGGTTGTGGTGATGGATGCCTGTAGTTCCAGCTACTTGGAAGGATCTTCTGAGTCCAGCAGGTCGAGGCTGCTGTGGCCATGAGCATGCCACTGTACCTCAGCCTGGATGGCAGGGTGAGATTCCTACTCAAAAAAAAAACAACTTGAATATTTTTGCATATAAAGCCTCGGATAACTTTAAATGGTTTTCATTACTTTTGTCATCTCACAGTGCTGTATTTTTGGGAGTTACTCATGCTGTGGTAGGTGGTGCATTAATCAAGATTTCTGAATTCTATGCCTATTTTTGTCTTGTAATTCTTAGAACCTTAAGCAAGTCAAGGCAGCTCTTTCTGCCACACCCTTTTATACCAGTGATTATTAAACTTTAGTGCATAATAATTACCTAAGAGCTTCTCATAAACATAGTTTTCTAGACCCTGCTCTTAGAGATCCTGGTTCAGTAGGGCTGAGGTTAGGTCTAAGAGCAGAATAAAATTGATTCAACTTCAAGTAAAACTGCCTTGGGCCTTTTGTGTGTGTGTGGTATAGAAAGTTTTTTATTGCTTATCTCAATAAAGTTGATGAGGGGCAATTAATATTCTAAAATACAGTTTTAGGAATAAGATAGTCTCTTCAACTAATGTGTGAGTTATTTATAAGCCTCTTTGGTACTTGCCAGATTGA